AATGTGCAGCAGCATCTGGCACTGTGGAAATTTAGTTTTCACCTATATCTGGATTATCACATGCTTATCTGGTCCCCCCTGAGTCAGAAGGAATATAGTAGATCTAGGAAAACAACATAAGGACAACAAGGTATGAAATTAAATAGGCTAGGATCCTTGGCTGGAAAAGAGAAACTTTATAGGGGAAAATAAGGGAGTAGGCACAGGGAAAGTGAATGGGGACCAGTTTTTAACTTCTTTACAACATAAGGACTCAAGGACATTGAAGAAAACTTCCAAGCAGATGTTTTATAGGAGAAAAAAATAATTTTTCCATACAACATATCTAAACTGTGAAACTTACTGTCACAAGATGTTGCAGATGAGTATAGAGAGATCCAAAAGTGATTAGATAAATTCTTGTAAGAAACATTCATTGAGAGCTATCAGTCACAAGCTGTAAATATAACCTCCTGCCCAAGAAGTCCCTAAACCATAGCTTGCTGGAAGCTGTAAGGGTATTCCAGAGGATTACCATGCACATGTCCAGACTTTGTATAATTCCCCTAAACAGCTGCTCTTTATTTTGATGGAGACCCTTCACTTTCAGTGCTCAGTACGGCCAGTCACACATTCCTAGATTTTTTTAGGCAAACAGCTCAAGAAGAAAGTGTTCTAGGGATAGTGCTTAAGGACCATAAGAATTTAATTTTTACTAGACAGTGTGACAGGTGCTAGGGGTACTCTGTTCTGTCACACTGATTCGCTATCACTTTCAAAAGCTCAGGATGCAAAAAGCACTTGAGGTTTTTTTGTTCTGCTTCAGGTTTAGACTGTTGCTAGTTTGTTCACAGGTGGAGGAAATGTGAGAAACAAGCTGCAAATTGGAAAGTAGTGTAACAAATAACTGGATGACAAAGAGCAGAAAGGTTATGGAAAAAGAAATTATACATCCTCACATATATTTTGTTTGTTGATGTCATTTGTGATTGTACTCTGTATTTGGGAGTAAGAACTCATACACATGTAGGCATGTATGTAAGTATAGACACATACATACATACTTCAGATTGTCCTTTTCCATCCTGTGTGAAGAATAAGCTGGATCCAGATCCTGAGCACACAGCTCGGGTTGTAATACATGATAAGATTAGAAAAGGAGGGAGAATACCTCACGTGCAGATAACCTAGCACAGAGACTTGTGCAGGCAGCTCCACCACAGCCTGCATGACTCTCCATCCCTGATGTGGGGATCCCCATTTCCACATCCATGTTCCCATATCTTATTCACCCACCCTACCTAAAAGGAAGGGCACTGTGCATGCATACCAACACAGCTGAAAACCGGGACCTTCCATTGCAATCCCTGAACACAGCACTGGTCACCACGAGCTGGTCTTCTGTGCAAGAAGCTAACCAGCAACAGAAGAAGGATTTACTGCAAGATAGGCAGGAGAACCCCCCACAAGGCTTTGGAGACAAAACAGAGTCCTTTGAGATTTCACAGAGCAGACTGTGTGAGGGAGTTATTGCTTTCCCACAGATGTATAAACCTTTTCTGCATTCTTAAAGTTTGTGTGTGCAGGAAATTCCTGTGGTTTCTTCACTTATTCTGTACAGGATTCCTGAAAAATGGAACTGAGGTCTCCAGAGAGCCACTCAGAGAAGGTTTTCTAAAGGAAAAGCCCAAGCAGTGGGAATGTGCAACCCACTTTCAAAAGGGAGTTGGACACTGGTTACACGAAAGTTGCAGGCCTGTAGGTTGTAGAGCTGAAAGCAGTCATCCCTCCCAGCCCAGACCCAGAGGCAGTAGTACTCAGTAGTTAGAGCCTTTTGTGACAGACTTGTGCCCATTTGGGAAGCAGGGCTGGCGCAGGATCATAAATGACCTCTTTGCTCCATTCAGTTATGACTTTTGTGTTACAGGAGATGCTAAGGCTCTTGGAAAACTAGTATTTCCAGGTACCTTATTGTGGCCTTGGCCTGGAGAAAAGATTCAGATTTCCCTCATGCCAGTATAGAAGCATGCTGGGTGTGGGATTATCCAGGCAATGCCATCGGTTGCAAAAGCCAACCATCTACTTCAATCTACTAAAGCAAGCAAAACTTAGAGCAACATATGAAGTACTTCAGTGTGATCTGGAGACAGAGCAACATGCCTACCATCAACCACCCTTTACATTATTACAGACTGAAGAACCCAGTCTTCTGCTTCACTGGATGAAGTTCTGGTGCAGCTAGAAATGTTGGTTGTTTTTTTTTTAATATTTTCCCTGCTCCTACTAATCTACTTAAAATGCAGGTGTAATTTCACCATCCTTTGTGAGTTTGTAGAAGTTGACCCCACCTGCAACAGGAGTGAGTTCAGAATAATTTCTTATTAAAAACTTCAAAATAGTGGCACACAAGTTAGAATTAGTGAAGTGTTCAGTCATCAAAGCAGCAGTGGACAATAGAAGTTGGTTTGGAGCTCTGGGACAGAAATAGTGTGATTCGAGCTTCTTTCCAATGACTGATACCAAACGGTAAATGACTGGTAGCATAAGCAAGAGTAGTACCATTAGCTGTGGGGACACGGTGCAATGACAGCCCAGCAGCTATTTTTTTCATGACTGTCTTTTGACAGCAAATTTCATACTTACACAATGCTTGCTTGTCCCAATCTATCAGAATACTTAGTGTTTTCCAAGCTCTGGTAGAAGTGAAAGCATGCTAAATGTTGCTTTCATTCTGTGGCTAAGCAGGAGAAAGAAACAGATTAAAACATGTCATGTCCTCAGAGAGACACGCATTTTATATGCATTCCTATAATGTAAACAGCCTGTTTTCGCAGGAACTGTTCTAGCCTGTTCTTGAAAATACTTTCGTTTCCCCCTTAAGCTGTCTTAGCTCCTACCTGTAAAGCTTATAAAGAGGATGTGATGCTGACACCTAGAGGAACATAGGTATGAATGTAAATACATTGTATGAGTCTGTAACTCTCTTTCATAATGTGTTTTTTAATAAGGCATCTGTTTAAATTGAGAAGTGAAAACCTGTAATGCAATATTTCCTCTGTGAATAATTTGTAAGGTTAGTGGACACGTTACAATGAATAACCAACCATAGTGGGTTTTCCAGCAATCCAGTTTAATAGCTTCTTCATATGTCTGTGTTTATACATCAAATAAACTTCCAACAAAAAAGTAATGTACAATTCAAGAAAATACCCAAAGCTATTACAGTTTTGGCTTCCTCTTTGTTGATTTACAATTATGTACAAGACTGTCTTATCTGCAATACCCAGTGAAGATTTAATGATTAATTTACAACATCAGCTGGTACCTTTCACTACGCAATTGAACTGTCTCCTTTTTGCTATTTACATTCATAGTAGCAAGAGCCCACTCTTAGGTGCCGTTTGTGGATCAGGTTAAGAGGTGGACTGAAACAAGGGAAGATTCTCACTACTGACCACAAACATACCTCTAAAAGCCCATTTTCAGATACAGCTGAAGGAAGATTACAGTGCCTAGTGCACTGATATAACCATTATATTTACAGTCAACATAATAAGGTGTCTCCACTGAGAATAACATTCCCACTCATATCAGAGGGAGGTATGTGCAAGCTGGAGGCAGTATATATTTTAAGCTGCAGCAGACAAAAGGTATAAGGTGCTAAAGGTGCACTCTACTTATCCTGCCAGAGACCTCCAAAGCAAATGAAGACACAAAGTATGCTATTTTTCTAAATGTGTGGAGTAGAATCTTTTACAAGTCTTCTTACACAAGAGATTAAATCAGGAGGGGGAAAAAATCATAATTTTATCATAATATGCAAACTGTTTCATAGAATCACAGAATAACTTGGGTTGGAAGGGACCTGTGGAGGTCGTCTATTCCAAATCATTCAAAGCAGGGCCAACTTCAAAGTTAGAGTCAGCTTTCAACTTAGAGCAGATTGTTCAGGGCTGTGTCCAGTCAACTTCTGAATATCTCCAAGGATGGAGATTGCACAACCACTGGGCACCTGTTCCCATGTTTGACCGCCCTTATGGTAAAAAAATTTTCCTAACACATGGTCAGGACATCCACCTTGAAGGTACAACGTAAGGCCCATTGAATCAATTGTAGTCCTACTGATGACAGCAACAGTTTTAGAGCATCCCTAAACCAAGTACAACAAGTGTTGTTCTTTCAGCTTTTCAGAAGAAATAATTCATTTTTCCAAGGTATTTTCTGATATCTAGTCAGAAGGGTACCACAGCTTGAAATATTTTCATAGCTTATATCGCAGTGCAACATATGTACCATCCATTGGCATCAAGAAATCAATGCCACAGTTGCACTTCCTTCATCTGTGATAAATCCAATATTTTGCACATTACACAGCTGTTGCAGAACAGAATGTTTATGAGAGCATGACTAGATGCAAATCACTCACACAAAAGGCATGAGTGTTCCACCTTAGAATCCCCTCAACAAAGACAAAAACTATTTGTCTGGGGAGCAAAAGTCAGGAGACTCTGTTGTAGCTGCATGTGCTTGAGTTTTTGAAATCCCTGTTTTGCCATTGCCTGCTATGCCTTCTGATCATCAAACTTGTTTTGTCTCTCCCAGCTTAAAAGATGCAATCTACAGTACAGCTTCCTCCAGTAACAAAAGCTACTCCTAGCTGAAACACTTTCCTAATGTCTATATAAAGGCAGCCACTCACCCAGTCTTTCCGTCTCCACAAAAAATTACGTGACTCTAGAGGCCATGTATCCTTCACCCTAGCCCTGGCAAATAAAGAAAACAGACAAACTAGAATCAGCTCAGACTTCATATTCAGCCTTAAAATCCACCTATGGTACATCCTACCCCACAGTGATAAGAACACATATAGTTAGATTTGAAAATCTTGTGGTAGCACTGTCCTCTTACATAACACATATTTTATGACAGTAACAGTCATGACCAGAATACAGGACTGCTGATATGTGCATATATATTGGTCATAACTGTTGAGCGAGGTATGTGAACTCTTATAATTGGAGCTACTTCTCTGATTTTATGTCTTCAAAAGGAAATAGCAAAAAAACTGTTAATTCTGGGCATCAAAATAAGCCATGCTCTATCTAGAGAGACAAAGACTATCAAGAGAAACACACACTGATGGGCTCATTGCATGGCAGGTCACACTCATTGCATTTGGCACAAATTAAAATAAGGCTTCCCCTGTATAATCCTCTTATAAGATCCAGTCTTCAGTAGGGTAAATGAGATTCAAAATATTCTTTCTCCCCGTAATACAGATGCACTGGGTAGCTCCTACCACCACTGTGAGAGAGGTGCGTGGAGAGAAAGAAAGGTAAAATCACATTTTAAAATATGGTTTCTGATTGCCACAGAAATAATGACAGCTGAATGGAGAAAGATGTTCCATAGGCATTTCAGCAGAACTACAAGATGCTGCAAGATGTTGCATTTCGATTCCTTTCCCCGGTTTTGAGAATTTTCCCTTCCTTGGCTTTGTTTTCTTAATACTTGTTTGATAACCCACAGACCATTCTCAGGCTATAGCAACAAATTATCTCTTTGAAGGTCTTCCTCATTTCCTGGCTACGAAAGGCATAGATCAAGGGATCAATCACTGAGTTGCACATAATGAGAATGAGGTACATGTTGAAGTGAGACATGAAGCAAACACAGTAGAGGTTTTGAGGGCAGGAGATCATCAGGATGAGATGAAGGAAGAATGGAGCCCAGCAAACAATGAAGATGCCAAGAAGCATAGTCAGAGTGATGGCTCCTTTCATGCTGGTTCTTTGACGGACAGAGCTGTACCCAGGCAAAGCAGCTATCTTCTTCACATGAGTACGAGCTAGGAGGAACATATGGATGTATAGCGAGACCATGAGGAACAACATGGTAAAAAACATAGTGATGAGACAAATGATCACGTAAGTTGATTCATAATAAAGAATGAAGATAATGCCACAGCCCGTGCAAAAGGTCCAGACACATGCAATAATAAGCCCTGATCTTTTCACTGTCATGATGTTGTGATAACGCAGGGCATAGAAGATAGTGATATACCTGTCTACAGCTATAGCCAGCAAACTGCACATGGAAGCCACCACAGATATGCAGATCATTGAATCAAAGACATTGTCTATATGACGGACAAAGGCATCTTCCATAATTATGTGTCTATTGTTTATTAAATATATTGTTATGGTCTCCCAAGCATTAGACACACTAACCAGCATGTCAGCCACTGCTAAACTGCAAACAAAAAAATACATGGGTGAATGCAAGTTCTTGTTCTTAACTACTGCACATATAACTAAGATATTTTCAAGGAGGCTTACAATGCCCAGAGTTAGGAACACCTCAGCTGCAATGACCACTTGCTCACATGGCGATGACTTGCTCTTGACAGTAGGCACAGTAAAGTTGCTGCCAAAGGCACTCAGGTTTAGTTCAGAAACATACAGTTGAGAGGACGTGTTCATCTCTGGAAGCAAACACGTTCTGTTCTTTCTGAGGGACTTGCCAAGGAGTGTGGTAAATGCATTTTCCAAAAGGCAAAAGACCCTGCCAAAAAAAATATAGCATGACGAGAACAGGTAGAAGTTGACAAAACAAGTATCACCCATTTCTATTTAATTTGGCTTGTACACATTCTGCCTCTTCCACACCATATTCCTCTACTGATTCTAAATTAACCTCCGATTGGCTCAGAGTTTTTCTACCCATCCTTACTGGGAAATTAAAACCACAAACTAATGAAGAGATTCATGCACACTCTTCATTCATAGTTTTGTTTATTCTATTCGGTCCCCCAGAAGTGAGCACAATGTCCTGGAAATTCTGCTGAACACCAAACAACAAACAGTTTTCAAAGTCTCAGTTCTCAGACCCCAGAAATGCAGGAGAATATAGTGTTAGGTT